AGGAAACAAAAGGAGTGAGAGGTTCCCTGGGAGTTTATAGAACATGTACACAGTCCCCCCATAAATGGGTTTTGTTTGTTACATATGACACCTATAGTTTCTTCTTATACACTTACTCACTTTCTAGGTAAAGAACAACTATGTTTTTTTTTTTAGAGCAGTTAATAATTACATTTAACTTCAAAGGTTAGGACGTGGGGGCCCTTTCGACACACTATTTAAAGTGCCGCCCTTGAGTTCCTTCACTACCTACAGCCCTGAAATGCCTTCCCGTCCTGCCCCATCCCCGTCTGCATCAGTACCACCCGGGAGAGGGTAAAGGAATCCGTTAAGTAGGCACCAGTATCTCTGTGTACTTTGTTAGATTTTGTGGGGTCTGAGAATTAAAATGTGACCTGAAGCTAGAGCCAGTCACACGTACAGTCTCGGGGCAAAGGCGGCAGGTGAAAGGAGGGCGGGAACCCAGGCTGTACCCGACAGAGCAGGCATGACTGTCCTCAGACCGACACAAGAGACGGTCGGCTGCCACTGGATTCACTCATTCGCTACTCGCCTGAGCTCACTATTGTTTTCTTCTCACTCACCCACCGTGAGAACTTGGCCAGAATGGGAATTGGTATGCAGAGTGAAACTGGCCCTCCGCGCGCGCACGCGTAGAAGCAGAGACACATTTGTATAATAAAGATGGGTCCAAGGTCACTGCAGGGATGAGGACAAGGAGGCAGGGAGTGTGCTCTCTAGCCCGTTCGGCTGCTTGGAGTGACGGCTTCTCTTCTATGGAATCAAAGCTATTTCTGAAAGCCAAGCACCTTTCGCGTTCCTCTGGCCCTCCCTTCCCCTGCATGACTCACCGGCTAACACTACTAGTTCACCTCTGAAGTTCGGGGTGCTTCCTGGAGTCCACTGTGCTGGCCTGCGAGGTAGCGCCAGGGCAACTAGCAACTGCACTCACTGTTGGTTTCTGGGGTCTCCCCCTCCACGGGAGGACGCGGAGACACAGCGAGAGTCACTGCCGCTGTTTGTCAGGCCACCCATGAACTAGATGGAAAGCTTTGGATACTGGTTCTCGTTTTTATCACGAAAAGAGCAATAGGGAGTGTGCAGGACTTGATGTAGTATTGGCAAAAAGAGTAATAGGAAAACTGATCACAGAGACTACCTTTGGGATTTAAATCATATTTTGTGAACTTATATAGGCCCTTCTCCTTTTAAAAAACCCGTTTTCTATCTTCATAATTAAGCCATAAGATAAAGGAGGTCGATGGCATTACATTACACTTACCTGGAATCCAGGAGTGAGCGTTGGGCTAATATTAATTGAATGCACAACAGCTTCAAGCTGTTGGATCTTACTTAATTTGATGTTAAAACATGACTGGGAAGTGTGTAATTGTCTTTCCTGTCGCGATTTATAGTCTAAGGCACATCACTTAGAGAAAAAGCTTTGGCTCATGTACTTTTGATACTGCAGTTCTGTACTGGTTGAGTTTTTAAGGCGTTGCTAAATTCTCTCTCACACACACACACCCGATTTTTCCTCTTCCAGTTCTCCATCTACACCACCTCTAAGCGAAAGGGGCAAGGCCGTTGGGGACCTTAAACCTGGCCGCCCTTCGAAAGAAACGGAGACTGAACCCACTGTAGCAGCATCAGGTGGGGCGGTCCCTGTAAAATAACCCCAACACTTCGTTTTACTTCTCACACCAATTGTTTACCCTTCTGATGAGAAGGTTTTACTGTGTAAAGAGGAAAATCACATCGACGTTACAGAGGTGTGGTTGGTTGTTCCTTGATTTTCTCTTTGGAAATCCAGGGCAAAGAGAAGAGTAAAACCCCGTTCTTTGAACTGTACCTGGGGTCCCCCTGCCTTTGGAATTGTATTTAGTACAGGGACAGCCGGTCTGAGTCTGCTTTTCTAACTTGGACCGACCACTGTAGTTTAGACAAGCCAGGTGGAAACATGGAGGCATTCGCTACAGAAAACCAGAACGTAACTTGCAAACATTATTTGTTCCCTGTACAAAGGCCTCCCCCTCCGTAGCTGTAAAGACACCCAAAGTTTGTAAGTTATATTGGAGAGCAGGAACAAGTGCGCCAGAAATCGGGGGGCGATCACAGTGGCCCCCTTTCCGCTACATTTCTAAGGCGGAGAGCCCTCGGAAACAGTACAGGGGCTCCATGTGCTGTGGCTCGGTGTCCATCCTGGTCTCTAGGCCCCCTGGGCCCCAGGAATGCATCGTCCTGGCTCCCTGGGCTTGCAGGTGGGAGCGGGTGGGCGGGGTGTGTCCCTGCTCCGCTGCCTCCTGCTTCGTCTTGGCGTGTTCCCCGCACCGTGTGGCCTGGGCAGCAGCTTGGGAATGCATGTCACACAGCTCCCTTTGCATTTACCATTTCCCTTCTCGCCTAATTGTCTTTCCTTTCTGTCCGTAGAAATATTATGGGCTGTACACGAAATGGGGTGACATCGAGCAGTGGATGGTAGGCCTTGGATACGATTTTAAGAAACTTGCATGGTTTATAATTTGGTTATTACACAGTTTAATTACATAAATAGATTCCTGTTGCATCATAATTTAATCCCCAGAGGTTTCCTGCCATTCCTCTTGCGTTTGGCCTGGTTGTTTTCCTCCCGGCGGAGGCCTGGGTAGGAGGGCCCTGGTCAGGCCTTCGTCTGGTCTGTGCAGCTGACTCCTGGAGTGTCCAGGCCAGTGTTTGTGGAGGTCGACGCCCCCTGGCCGCCTGGGGCAGAGTGCTGTCCACTACGGACACTCGGGCCAGGCGTGTGTCCCAGGCGTGAGGACTCACCCATTTCCCTCCTGGGCTCCGGTTGGAACCCAGAGGCCCCATTATGCTCCATTTCCTTCTCTCACTATTGTTGTCGGCTGGCCTGTTACCCTCATTCCAACCTTTACCTGCCTTCAATGTTTGCCCCGCCCCCACCTCACCCGATATTCCCACTGAAACCCCTGTTCTCTGGTGAAAACATTCCTGCACCTTCTCACCATTTCCTAGAACAGCTTCTCTATCCTCCTATGTCAGCTGAGAGCCAGCTCGCCCCTACCCTGTCCTTAGGACCTTCCCAGGAGGGTGTGGGTGGCCCACGGTCCCAAGAGGACATGGCTTCTCCCGTCATTCATCCGTGCACCTGAGTGTGCCCCCTCCTCCTGTCCTTGTCACCAGCCTCCTGGTCGTTGTCACATACCTTTAGCACTTGAGAATCTGGCCAGTGTGGAAATGTCCTGCTAAATATCTCTGATACATAAAATAATCTAAGGAAACGTAAAATTTCTTCCTAACATCGCAGGTGCCTGCATAAAATACGAAAGGCAGTCCTGGAAATACAAGGAGCGCACACTTCCACTGTTTGAAAAATGGTGAACTACAGCCTTCACAATGTGTGAGCCATCATTTTAGGCTTGTGTGGCACAGGCAGATGTCCTTGTAGCCAATCTCAGGACACCGTTGAAAGGGGTCGTTGGTTTCTGTGCCACCGAGGAAGAGAAAGGCTGCTAGTTATCGTTGTGAGCAGCTCCGTGCCGGCTTCAGGGTGCCCCGGTGTGGAAACTGCATCTGGGAACGCACACAGTACACCAGAGAGCGTGCGTCCTTATGGCTCTTTCACGGACATGGTTTCTCTTCTGACCCCCAAGGGGAGGAGAGCAAGGCTCTGAATGTAAGGAAAAAAAGTGGGTGGGTTGACATGGACCAGACTTTAGAGGTTAGAAAAAAATTAAGGCTCGCTTCCCCTCCACCACACACTTGTTTTGAAAGCCAAGATGAAATATGCCAATTATTCACGTGCTTCAGTACCCCCCTTTGGAAGAGAACATTTCTCGCCGGCAATTTAAGTGAAGCCTCTAAGCAAAGGCAGAGGAAATGTGTGCCATTTATATCAGGAATACTGTGCGGAGGCGCAGCTGGACTGTCGAAGCCTCCCTGTGTCTGTCTCTAACCTCACGCTCTCTCCTCCTTCGCTCTCTCCTCCTTTGGTAGGAAGACAGTGAGCGCTGCTCGCGCAGATCCAGAAGGAACACCTCGGTTAGTACTGCATTCATTCACTACTTAGGCGTTAGGATGGAAATCTAATTTGTATTTTTAGTAATATATATATCACTAAAAATATATATATCTATAATATATATGTATATTACCTCAATGATGTTTATTAAAGAAGTTAATACTGATATTACCTAAACAAAGACTATGAACTCAGCATTTAGCATTTTGACCTAACTTTGGGGAGGGGAGAGTGTTTGAGAAATTTCTGAGTATTACTATATTCGTAACAGTTTTAATGCTTCTTTTGCTATCGAATACCCACAAACACTTCACAAAATAATGTGCATCGAGGCTACGTCGTCGTAGACTCCGGTGAAGTAAATAACAGCACTTTAATAAAACCAATCGAAAGCCGTATTATCTGGAAACAGCCTGCTGTAAACAGAGGCGCACAAAGCCCGAGCTGGCTTGGACCTCGGCTCAGGGCGAGAGCTTTTCGGAGGCTGCCAGTCGGCCCCACTGCCGTGGTGTCCGGCCAGCCGCCTCCGGTCGAGAGCTGGCGTGGGCTGCTTCGTGTTGCACTGTCACTTCATGCTCTTTCACCCTTTCTCTTACTAGGCGTCTGATGAAGATGAGCGCGTGTCAGTGGGTAGTCGCGGAAGCCTGCGGGTCAGTAACCTGAATGCTTGAGTCTGCATGGTTCAGTCATGTCCAAGTCCTTCGCTTTTCACCCCTGCATTCACATGTCCTGCTCATTACCCCTTGTAGTCTTGTAGTCTTGTAGTCAATATCCAACTGACAAGGCACTTATTTCAGATCTATGCAATGGCGGGTGTCTCCTGGTTGCTGTAGAAAGATTACACCAGCAGTGAGGGGCACACGCATAGGCACCTGGACTGTGTCTTTCTCCAAGAGTGGAGGTCACAGTGTTTTTGTATGTCTGTCCACATCACAAACCTGCCACATCCTGGTGAAGTTGGCTGGGCGTGGCTGGCGGGATAAAGGCGCGTGTGAAGGAGCAGGCTGCCAGTCGTGCTATTTGCACACACGCTCCCCGGCCGCATCTGAATCTCAGGTTCAGTAACTGTCGGTGAAAGTCATTCTTAGTGATGTTTCTGCGGAGGCCGCCGGGTGGGAAGTGGGGCCGCCTGGACCCCTGGGGCTGCGTCTGCTCGCCTCCAGGAAACGCTCTTTTCGTCGACTTGGTGAAATCTCTTCATCACGGTTGCTTAGTGGCTGATAAACACAACAACATATTTTCCTTGAACTTTCCAAAAATATTCATAATTATATTTGAAAAAGTTGTGTGCTTTGGGAAGTGAAGTAGGGGAACTGTGTTTTTAAGGCATTGAATTAATTTGCCAGTTTACTTTACCAAAGGGCTGAAACTGCCCCTCACTGCTGGTGGTCATAGGGCTCCATGCAGCCACCATGTGTGACTTAAGGACCGCTGAGAGCAGAAGGCTTGTTTTAAGTCACCATGGCAACCAAAAGACTTATTATAGGGCACTAAAAATGCCTTTGATTCAGCTGTTCTAACAGTAAATTGTGAAGATGCTACACTGTTTCATTTCTTTGCAGGTGCCAGAGGCAGATTTTAGAGGAGGAGTTAAAATTGCTCTAACTGCTTCAGATTTTAGGAATTACAGCAACACCTGCCGTGGAAGTTCTATTTAAGATTATGGGATTTGTGGTAGCTGTCATTCTAACGTAATTCCTTTTGCAAATACATGAGCTCCTAGAAAGCATGATAAAAATATAATTTTGTTAAGATGCCTGTTTTCTGTTTTTGTTACGTCTTACTTGGTTTTTTAACTGGTTCTTGGCCCCTCTCTTTTCTGCTGTTTTCCTGGTCTATCCTTACTCTGGCAGTCGCAGCCTGACCTGGAGTCTGGGGGTCCCTACGGCTGGGTGAGATGTTGGGGTGACTTGCCGTGTGATCCTAATGGCGTCCTGTGACAGATAATAACCAGCGGTGTCCTCACTAACCTCATGGGTGTTTGTCTAAAAAGCCGAGTGCATCTTTGTCAGAAAAGACACACATGCCACCCACCAGTCTCTACCTGGGGGCCGTGGGCCAGAGGCGGGTGCAGACCAGAGTGCTTGGTCTTCTCCCTGAAGCCCCCTGGGCGCCCTCTAACCCACCTGGTCGGGCTCTGGGCCCAGACTGGCATGCACACACTGTTTGAGCACCAGCTTTTTCCCACACACTGTGCCAGCAGCTCTGAATCCCAAGGGAAAAGATGATGTCTTGCCTTCAAGGAACTCAAATCAGATCAAGAACTGTAGTTCCTTTAAAATATTAAATTTAAGGTCATTTTATCTCATAAAGTCCATTGTTTTCTAATCTGTGTCCATTCAAATGAAACATACAACTGGGCTCCTTTGCCAGAAAAACCCCAGTTCCAGCAACAAAAAGAAGGCTTTCGGTTCAAATTCAAAAGTATTCTCTTACGTCTATCCAGGAGTTTCTGTGCTGTCTGCTTTCCGAAGCCCATAAGCGTGAACCACACGGCAGAAAATCCCATCTCACCAGAAAGTGCGCTGGGCATGAGCCTGGCTCGTACTACGGTCCTGAGAGCGGGTCGCACACCCTTCACTTTGGGAACCGTTTTAGAAGCATTTGTGCTTTATTCATTCTATTGCATTTCCAAATTATTTAGCAAATGTCTGTGTTTAAAAATAGGTATTTTTATTTTAAGTTGATAATGCCATCCACCCACCTAGCACCCAGGATCCCTGGAGCCTCCTAGTGGGGCTGCTGTCTCCGCATAAGGGCAGGAGAACTCCGGGGGTGGGTTGTCGAGGAGATGCTCGGTCCAGCCCAGCCTCGAGGTCCAGCCACTGGGGCCTGCTGTGGACAGTGGGAGGCGAGAAGCACCTCATTAGACTAAAAAAGCGCTCTTCCCAGCGTCTCCCGGGCCACCTTCCACAGTGACACTGGCGTCGAGAGCTTTTCTGTGACACGACCATTCTTGCCACCTTTCTATTCTTTTAAGTCATTAAATGTATTGGTGACACTTTTCTAGATTTTTCGCCTTTTTGTTTCCAACTGAAAATGAATTCCATTTGGGGCCCGGCCCAGTGGCGCGGAAGCGTGTATGTGTTGGTGACAGTCAGGAACACCTTCTGGCGCTCACTCTCATTTTCTGTTTCACTCCTTTTCACAACCAAATTCCGGGCGTCGGGGAGTGCGCGCAGGAGTTTTGATTTTGCCTTTCTTCTTTTGTTCCCCATCTCTCATGCCCTTGAAGGCGAGCCGTCTTTTGCCTCGTTAGAATAATAATCTCACATTGTTCATCAGAAAAGCTGACAGTTGAGCCTCGCGTGGGCAAATGTGAAGTTCGTAGGTGCTTTGCGAGCACTGAGCGGTGGTTGTGCACTTCCTGACTAATCACGAGTCACGACTTAGAGCGATGGGTTCTGGTGAAGCATTAATTCTTGTGTCGTCTCCTCTTTTAGAAAATGCTAACCTGTGTATGCCCAGTGCCCTCTCTGCTAGCAGTGTGTCCCCATGTCTCTGCATGTAAGACTCACCCCGGGGAGCTCATCAAAATGCATGTTCCCAGGCCCCTGGGTTCTGATTTCCTGGGCCAGGGCCCACGGTCCTCAAAGGCAGCCCAGGTGACCGCGGTGCAGGTGGCCTGCACAGCCCAGAGTGAGGGAAACGATTCCGTAGAACAGGCTGGTTGGACATCAGAGGTCTGACTTAAGGAAGTTCTGTCTGTGGACTTCTTATTCTGATTTTCAGCTCTCTTGACCCTACCACAGCACATAAAGCAGCCCCACCCATCAACACACAACACACAAAACCATCTGGAGGAGCATGGCTGGTGTCTCTCAGAAGGTCCAAGTGCCTGTCACTATAGAGGTGTGGTTAGGAGCCCATAGATTTGGGGATCTGTCCTAGCACTATATCCCCCATGACAGAATTCTCTTCCACCAGAAAAGGGTGAGTGTTCCCCAAAGCCTTCAAAGTAAGAGTTCCCTGCGTGGTCATGAAAGGCCGAAAGAAAAAGGGTAATGGGTGAGAGAGGACCACTGCCCGGCCCCCGCCCACCCTCTGCTCCGTGCTGCTGGCCGTTACAGAATGAGACCAAAAGGAAGACTTGCCTACAGCAGCCCGCGCTCCCTCGGCAGCGGCGGCGATGCCGTGTTTATATGTGAACCGCTTTTATTCCTCACTCATGATAGTGCAGTAAAGGTTACCCGGAGTGGATCCATGTTACCCTTCATGGTTACATTTTCCCAGAAACTAGCTTTTAAACAGATAGCAGGAGAATGCGCCCGAGGTCTGAAATATTCAAGTCCCTGACACGGGTTTCCGGATCACATACTCTTTGTTAGTTGAGAGAAGAAATGAGACTGAGTAAAATTCCTGCCCATCTCTAAATATTTTTTCTGTTAAACTTATTTCAGAAATTTTAATATTTCCCCCAGAGTTTTCAAATTAAATGCTGAGCGATTTCTACAAACTCTGATCTAGAAACTTCAAGTTGGTCTGTTGTTGGGGTTTTCTTTGGTCCTATCAGAAGTAAATACATAATTTTATAGTCAAGGTTCCGTGAATCTGGATTTATAATCTGTCCGGAAATTCGTTTACTTATTCTGCATTAATGATGTGGCTGCAAAATATGGGCAAACGCCTCCCCTCCCGTTTTAATCAGATCTGATCCTCATGGTGGCCTTGGGAAGTATACGTTACTGTGCACAACTCCGCAGCCCAGGGAGAGGGGGTCCGGGATTAAATAACTTAAGGTCACATGACAGAGCTTCTGTTTGGAATTTGGACTCGTGTCCCTGACCCCTGGTATCGCCCGCCTTTCTTGCCTGCTCTGTGCCCTGCCCCTCCTTTCTCTGTCACAAGAGCTGGTCTGTCTTTGTCACCTGACAGCTGTTAATCAGCAGACACGTCCTCGTAGATGAATGAGCGCAGCTTAGACAGCCCAGCGTGTTGGGTCAGGGGAACTTGAACCGGGAGCAGAGAAGAGAAGCGGCGGGCAATAATGAACTTGACCGTTCTCATTTTCCTGGAGGACAAATTATGAAATATGTCCTCAGATTTTATTTTTGGAGTGGGGGGGAATAGGAAGACTGGATGCATGAAAAACGAATGTAGAGGATAGAGGATGTGTCCTGCTATTTTTCCATGACGAACTTTTACATTTCATTATAGATTGAATAGAAGCTGTATCTGAATTTTCTGAATAAAACGTCATAATGGGCCACGATTCTCAGGGACTAACCCCGTGCTGGGATTTCCGCAGCACGGCCATCGAACTGGGAATGAGAAGAAACTGCCCGAAAGCTACTGTGCCCAGGCCCATGGGCTTCATCCATAGGAGGGATTTTGCCTTAAGGCTCAGATGCCCTGTAGTTAAAGTGACACTGAGTGGACTTTCCTGGGGTGCAGAGGAGCAGATGGGAGGCGGAGGCTGCCCTGGGCTCTCATTCACCAGCTCCCCTTATACCTGGTTGGTTCTTCCTTGCTGATCTGTATCTGTCTGTAATCTGCCTTCATTTGTGTGCTGATGTCACTGTCTTCTTTTCTTCACTGAAACAGACAAATGGTTACAATGGAGAGGTGTACGGATCACAGCCCCTGAGCAGAAGATCTGGCAGGGTTAGTACAGGACATTCGCATGGCACAGAATTCAAACAGGTTGCTGCGAAGCTTTTAAAAAATATTGCTCAATCTAGCTGCTTTTGTTTCTGTGTTACACTGGTTCTCTCCCCCCCCCTCACCCCCCCACCCCCAGCACATGACAGAATGAGAGCTAATGTTTTTCAACTAGGAAACAGTCTCAGAATGTTAGTCTTCTGACATTCTAAGTGATAGTGTAAGAGATTCATATTGGTAAGAATCCCTAGGTTTAAAAGGTCTAGAACTAAAGGTTAGCTCTTTCATTATTTTATGGCCCCCGTATGTGTATATTATGTATGTTCAGCTTTCAAATATACTGAAATTTGACATTTCCACCCTTCCACGTTTCTAGTTATAATTTTAAAGACGGGCAGAGCCTGTATCTTCCTGGATACCAGCGTTGGAATGCTCACAGTGCAGGGTTGGAAGCAGAAGGGAGCCATCCTGGGGCGGGGGAGAGGGTGGAAGGGTTGATGACCAAGCAGGAGTGCGGGAGAGGAGCCGGGGCGGCCTGGGCATTTATCAGGGAGGTCTCTGTGGATTTCAAAAGGCTAAATTGCCTACATTTTTAATTGTTTCATGACCTGCTGCAGATCTGTCGTACATTATATTATGTAAACTCTTCCTGTAATTAATGTTTGCTTCACTTTCTTTTACTAGTTGTGTAACATAGTATTTCTTTGAATTTATCTTAATTATATTAAGCTATGTCATAAGTAGACTTACGTTCTGTGGTCAGGTTTCAAAGGGGTCACCCAACCCCACCTTAGCTTTCTGAAACGGCTGATCAGATTTCCCCTCCTGCCTGTTAGGGATTGCATATACTCCGTCTCTTGTCCGCTTTTCTCCTTCCAGGCTAAGAAAAGCATCCTCCCACTTACAGGCCGCCTTCCTACTTACGTGCTCTTTGCACAGACCTCCTGTGGCCTTCCTCCAGCCTGTTACGTGTTTCTTTACGTTTCTGTTCACTCTGGGACAGAGTACGTGGCCCACCATCGTGTCCTGCAGCCTGTGCCCAGCTGGCCCTCAGAACAAGAGACACAGGGTCTCTGAGGGCCCCAGTCTGCCCTTTGGGGCTGTATTGACTCGTTTGCAGCTTTTCACTCTCAGTGCATTGGTTCACCTTCATTGATCACGAAGTCTCATCGTTGAGAGTTGGAAATTGCTGTAGAAGCTCTTTAGTCTAACTTCAGGCCAATATCACCTTCTTCTCTAGAACATCCCACACGTGTGGTTGCCACGTTTTGTGACAGGACAAGGGGACATCAGGCTCCGTGTTCTACAAATACAGCCAAATATTTTAATCTCTGGTTTTTATGTTGTTGGAATAAAAGTCTGCTTTATGCGTTATTAAGATTTAAGTAATGCCTCTAGAAATACAAAAGAACTTGATTGTAAAACTGTGCACCGCAGAGTAAAATTGGATATAAAACTGATTTAATAAGTAATCAAGAAGTATGATGATTGAAGAACCAATAACCTACATCTAATGCAGCAAGCAGCATGGCTGGGCAGATCCGGGGCAGAACACCCCCCACACACACATACACACACACACACACACACACTGAGGGTGAGCTTAGAGCAGGGGTCCTCAAACTACGGCCCGCGGGCCACATGCAAATACAAATATTGTATTTGTTCCCGTTTTGTTTTTTTACTTCAAAATAGGATATGTGCAGTGTGCATAGGAATTTGTTCATAGTTTTTTTTTTAAAACTATAGTCTGGCCCTCCAACGGTCTGAGGGACAGTGAACTGGCCCCCTGTTTAAAAAGTTTGAGGACCCCTGCTTAGAGAAAGGCTGGGTGGGTTGGGAAGCTTTTAGATGTGGGGAATATCAGTGTGGGAAGGAGTAAATGACCAGGCTGAAGGTAGGAGTTTGGAAACATTCTACAGGGAACTCAGTCTCCATAGGGGGACCGCTTGATGGTTTTGATCCCCACCTCATGCCTGCATTTGTAGCATTTACAGTCGCCTCCCCATCTAAATTCTGGGTTGGTTTGGGGAGTTTTTAGAGTGTATATCCCGTAAAACCACAATGACAGCTATAGGCCAGTTGCTTTCTGTGGATAGTGGTTCACAGATGGAAGGGGTGGCTCTCTCCAGATGAGCGGGAGCCCTCAGGGCGCTGGCCTGAAGGAAGATTGCAGAGTTTGCATCCATGGAGCTTTAGATAGCTAAGAAGGTATGTAATACTGTAAGTTTAGATAGCAGGTGACAGATGGTCCATCATAAGATTTAGTAAGGAATTACATATAATACTAGAGGTGGGAAATTGTGAAAAACAATAATAGTTACACTGCAGGGCATCACGGAGACGTCAACACTGGACCGTGAACAATAGCTCAGAGCCTCTAGTGCAGCGGTTCTCAACCTGTGGGTCGCGACCCCTTTGGCGGTCTAATGACCCTTTCACAGGGGTCGCCTAAGACCATCCTGCATATCAGATATTTACATTACGATTCATAACAGTAGCAACATTACAGTTATGAAGTAGCAATGAAAATGATTTTATGGTTGGGGGTCACCACAACATGAGGAACTGTATTAAAGGGTCACGGCATTAGGAAGGTTGAGAACCACTGCTAGTGGCCAAGAATTTCTGTGGCAGGGCCCTCGGATGGAGGGCTGATGTGGTGTGGTTGTGTGCTCTGTGTTTGCCTTTGACCGGGACAGGCGGGCTTTGGGGATGAAGGTAAGGAACTGTGCATCACTTACTATGTCTTCTTTGGTGCCCAGAACTCCACCTACAGCGGTGACGGCAGATCCTCTACTGTGTCCTCGTCCAGAGAGGAGAAGTTGGTTCGTTTCCATTTAAATCTTTCACATCCTCTCTCCAGAAACGACAGGTTCTGTAGCATGCAACCTCGTGTGTGTGAATTCCGCTCTTTTCTCTTTTAACATCTTCTTTACAGATTTTCATTTGGGTGGATTATAAAGTCGGTTGTTGATCAGTAATTAGTATGATATGTTTAATTCAGATGAATTGTGCTGGTCAGCTGGGTACAATGGAAGGAAGTATTTATGTGGCTGTTCGGTAGTTAGAATTAATCAGAAGGAAACAACAAATAAGAAAGCTTGAACGTCTCTCCTTGAAAGTGTTAGGACAAAGAGCACTTTGTCCTAACACTAACAGAATTAGTGTTAGGGTGCATGCAAACTTGGTGGCAAGAAAATCAAATCCAAATCCACAGGTCTACACAGCAGAGTGCCTTCCCACGGATGTGCATCCGTTTTGATAGGCAAATAGTCCTCAATAGTTTAAGGGCCCTGGGAGGTGAGGCTTGCTTGTCCTAAGTCAGGTTTGTGGTCACAGCAAACACGGAGCTCGTGTAGGAAGGAGGATCACAAATGTTAGCGTTCACGTCCTGAAGAGAAGACAGGTCCACCTGCCCGATACCCCTGTGCAGCGGGTGACGGGGAGAAACTCATTTTGCCAGGAAGTGTCATAACTGAGAAGTGTGCTCACCTTCAGGTGTAAACAGAAGGGGGAAAAGATAGAATAAGCGGAAAGTAACCAGGTAGAGCCACAGGAGTCTGTCTCCTCGCCTCTGTCATGCCTGGTCCCCTCCTTCTTCCTGCTTTTGCCTCTTTTGGGGCGGGGGGCGGGAGGGGCAGACATTGCTGACAGCCCCATCACTTGCTCTCTCACTTTCCAAACGCCCACCGCTGCCTCCCACCCCCTGTAGTAATCAACACTCCAGCCTCACTCCGAGCCTCTGTACCTTTCTTCCCCCAAGAGTTTTGAGTGAGCTGTAAGCAGCAAAATATGGGTGGGTTTTAACACCTTATTGAGTGTTAAACTATTGATGGGGTTTAACACTTCAAGAGTTTTGTGGGTATTATGTGCATTTTCTTAACTCCGGGGAATTTTTGCTATTACAAAGAGCACTTTGTCCTTCAGAAAACTTCCTGCTCACTCTCCAAGTGGAGATGCTTGCTCTCAAGTAGAAGATGGTGGTAGAGACCCAGTGCCCACCAGTGAATTATTCACCACAGCCCAGCATGTGTCTGACTCACTCACATTCATGTAAAAGAAGTAACCACATCCCCGGGGTGAAGTCACAGTGAGAGCTGGCCGTTGGAAGCATAAGGCTGGTCGGCACTTCCCTGGGGCATGTGTCCCACCATCACGCTGCCCGGCACCCGTCACTCGCCCGCCCTCAGCATCTCCCCGCCCGTTGCTGGGCTTTTGAATTTTACTTAAATTTAATAACAGGAAGCTATCAGTGCAGCATGTAGCACTGAAGACTTCTCTAAGGAACATCTCCCGCTGTTCACGTCGGAGCAAACCCCGCACTGGACCATGCAGTGTCCGTAGGCACTTTTTCCCACATGGCAACGTGGGCCCCTGTGCTTTCAGCCCTGGAACACGTCTCACCATTTGCCCTAAATATTAGGCAGTTTCTTCCTGTCTAGCCCAGAATTCCACTTGCCTGCTCAGGTCATTTTGGTACCACTTATTCAAGGCGTAGGAGGGGCAGGCACAAGTTACGGGCCTTGAAGGGGTGGCGGGCATCTTAAGGTGCCACCCAGCTACCTGAACGGGACCACTCCACCTTCAAGGGCGGCCCTGTTCTTGTCTGGTTGGAGCACAGAAACGGAGCAAAGAACTTCCTCTCCCAGGGTCCTTTCGTTTGGGTAAAACATTTTATTTGGGGAAATCATTAATTTATAGAGTAGTATCCCCCAGCAATAACCTCTAGACCAGCAGTTCTCAACCTGTGGGTCGCGACCTCTTTGGGGGTCAAACGACCCTTTCACAGGGGTCGCCTAAGACCATCGGAAAACACATATATAATTACATATTGTTTTTGTGATTAATTGCTATGCTTTAATTATGTTCAATTTGTAACAATGAAATCGGGGGTCACCACAACATGAGGAACTGTATTAAAGGGTCGCGGCATTAGGAAGGTTGAGAACCACTGGTCTAGACCCTTGGTCTCAGAATTACAGCGCTGACTTGGCCGTGTCTGTGGTGAGTTGTGGATGCCTGCTTTGTGCGAATACCCAGGAGGCCACGCCAAAGACCATTTCCAATGAAATGTTCCGCTACAGAAAATAAAGGTTGATATCTCCGCAAATTCTTGGTTTTGAGCTCTTTCCCACCAAACTTTAAAAATCAGAACTCCAATTACAAAGACGTTCAACGCCCCCGTAGTCTTGCTGCCGATGAAAATAGTGAAATCTGGTTTGCCTGTGTGCAGATTTGGAAGACCTGGTGTGGTCCCCACCGTAGTTTGTCAGTTACCGGGACCGTCTTTATTTCCTTCTGACCGTCCTGTCTCCCGCCCCCGGCAGTGCATGCCCGTTACCAGTTTGGTTGTAAAAGGTGGTTCTGTGTGACTGTACCATGCGGTGTGCCTTGGAGATGAAACAAAGCCGCAGCCTCGTCCCCTCTGCTGTTTTCTCTGATTGCAGGGGCCATCCTGCTCTGACCTCGGCCTTCCCCGCGGTGGCCTTGCGCCCCAAGTCCTGTTCGCCCAGAGTGGAAGCCGGGTCTGTCTCCCCTTCTCACGTCCCTGCTTCCTCCTCCTCCTTCCCGGTGTGTCATCCACGGCTGAGTGAATGTGTGGACACGCACCCTCTCCCACATGAACTCCCAGGAGCAGAGCCCAGCAGTGGTTTTCATTCACTGACTTGCTAAGACTTCTCAACTGATGAAAGCATTGTCGCACATAACTTCAGGCGTTATATAGAAAAGAGGGATTTAGGAAGAAGGAGGCTCTAGCGAATGGGTCTTTTCAAAAGCTCAGGGCCCCCAAATTGGTCTCTTGGGTCCCTCCTCCTCTTCCAGCAATTGTTCCCCATTTGGGGTTTCATTTGTTTTCTTAAAAAATATTTTTCTCTGGTTGGTGTGTCCAGGAAGCAATTTGGAAGGCTTTGGGGCATGATCGGCCTCCTCCGTCTCTGAGGAGGGGGAACAGCCCTGTTTCTTTGGCTCACGCTCCCCTGGCTTCCTGTTTGCACGGGCCCGCCTGCAGGCCAGTGGGTGCTGGGCCTGTGAGCTGCAGGGAGGCCCTGTGGCGCTCACACCAGGAGGCCCTGTTGGAACTCCAAGTAGGGACCCAGTCATGGAGGCTGAATTGTCCCCTCCTTGTATTGTCCTGTCCCCCACGTCGCTGAGTGACTCATCCTTGGTCATGCACATTCCAGGACTGGCCCGGTGGCCCTGTGCTGCGGGCTTTCCATGGCCTGTGCCTGGAAATGAGTCACGATGCTATTCTGGGGCTCAGTCTGCGGCCACACCAGCCTTCACGTCCCAGCACACCCTGCAGGGCTCTGGCTGGCCAGCAGCCGCAGGCCGACAGCTCCTTGTGTGTCGTGAAGGCTGCTCCCGGCACCCTCTGCTAGAAATAAGTGCACTGCCGCTCCCTCTCCCTGCGTGGACGTGTGTGGATTAACACTCCTCCGTGCTTTCTTAACCTGGGGTTTGACTGCGGGTTTGGTTGCTCTTGTGGGTGTTGTTTACCTTGTCACCATTCTGCCTCATCCCCTCACACCTTCTTCCAGGAATACCTAGAAAGAAATGACGAGAAAATAGTCATATTTCAAAGATGCTGGGGAAGTATAGTGTTTTAAAGTTAACAATCATCTTGCATTTCTCTTTCCTGTAAACTTGCGTTTGTATCTATCAAATACACTGAAAACATCGACTTCTAACTGTTGCACAACACTTTGGCTGCCACGCTAACCCAAAGTATCTGATTACCTGACTTGGGATGCGTTGCCCTTTTTGTCAAGACTTTTAAAATCTGCTGTTTACTTCCATCCTCCAGCCCTCCTGTCTGTACAGCGCTGCCCGGCCAGCGGGGAGTTCCTGGGTGCGTGTGCTCGCCCCCCCTCCAGGCCCCTCTGCCCGCCCCGTCGTGCCCCCACTGCGCGTGCACGCCCCACCCCGCACACCTGCATCTGTCAGCAGCCCTACTGGGATGACCTGCCGGTGACATGGCGCTCACACCTGCATGGTGTCTGTCACCTTTGGCCAGATCTGGGTTTTATTCTCCCCACAGCTGACAGTAACCGTCACCCGGCTTCCGTCCCCAGGAAGGCAGTGTTTGTCTAGCCTTGCTGGGCAGGAATGGAGCAAGGCAACGTTTACTCAATTCATTGGCAGAAAGAAAGGCGGTTTTTTATTGCTTTGGTGTAACATTAACAGGTATTAATCTGTTGTGTGCTGTATTACCTTGGAAATTTCCAGTTTTAAATACAAGGTACTTATGTGAGTGGGAAACTTAAATATTCGAAGTGGCTATGCTGAGTGGTTAATAACTTTCTGAATCTCCACCAGATTGCACACTTGTGAATTAGACACGTCACTGGCTGAGCAAACCAGCTGTGTCAGGGGAAACGGGAAACGGGAGGCCCTTTGAGCTGGGCAAAGGCTGACATGGCCAGTCACGGCATTGTAGACTCCTGTCACCCTCGGTGTTTCATTACATGGGATTGTCATGTTAATCAGATATTCTGTTTTCTAGTTCACACATTTTAAATAATTATAAAAATCAAACTGCAAGTAATGTCCTGTTTTGTTCCAAAGCCACTTCATATTAGAGTCATTTTCTAAACGCCAGGTACAAGGATGCCGTGACGAAAGTCAGGATATTTGAATGATCTGCTCAGCTAAATCTGGGCTCACAGGTTTTCACTCAGCGAGGCGCCTTTTTCAGAGTCATAGGTTGAAAGAACCTACTGGTGTCAGCAGCAGCTAAACGTCTCTCCCTTGGATTTTGCACATCCCTGCCCTGCTCCCCAGCACTTGCCCTGGGACGGTAGCTCTGAGCCCTCCCTGCATGCCTTCCCTCTCGGTGTCTTTCAGGACGCGCTCCCGGCGTGTGCCGGTCTGCTTGTGCTGCGGAGTTTTCTGGGCGCCGGGAGAGAGGGAGGCACCCTGTCCTGACAGTCTGTTTTCCACAGGCGTCTGTGTTCGGGGACGGCAGTCTCGGTGGGACTCGGCGGGGAAGCGCCTCTGGTTCCTATGCTGTAAGGCGCTGTCTGTGTTCCCAGAGTTTCCTCCCGTCTGCTGCATGACCTGGGTGGCTCGCCCGGCACCGTTCCAGCCCCGGGGATAACTGGCCGAGGTCACAGGAGGAAGGACTGTCTTGTCCCAATTTCCCATGGACGAAGGGGCATGGACAGTGGGAATCACGAAGCCTGGGGGCGTTAGTTCCGTGTCCTCACTCATTGCAGTTACAGGGAGGAGACTGACCCGGGCTGAGCTTCATCAGCTCTCTCCCTGCCACAGGCAGACAGTACGTAAGTAGTGAAGGGGTTGGTCTTAGGAGGAGGAAAAGGAGACTCAGACAGGCCACCTGTTATTTCCACCTCTCGCTCATCGAGGACGATGAACACATTCAAAGACTCAGAACATTACACGTATGCCATTTCCCCGTTTTATTTTGCCTTCCCCCCACTTCAAAGGATTGGAAATGGTATTTCAATAAAGGTGTGATAGTTGTACATGAAATACTTGTTGAATGAAAAAACTGGGTGAGTGAATGAGTGGGTGATGGAGGTGAGCAAATAGAGAAATCAACAGTCAGTCCGGGGAAGCGGAGCTAATGAGCCCCTCCCACGGACCAGTGGAAACGGAGCATCAGCCCTAACCAGCCCTCCCCATGGCCAGCAGTTCTGCATCCCAGGGCACCCCCACAAAGTCCCATAAAAATGCACCACGCCCCACGTGCAATAAAATGGCTTCCTAAGAAATACCCACAAGTCCCATAAAAATGCACCGCGCCCCACGGGCAACAGAATGGTTTCCTAAGAAATACTTAAAACTGTTTTTCTAATTTTGCTTTCCAAAATGATTGGCTACTTCATAAATTAGTTAAATAATCCAATTTTATGATTTTTTTCTATTTCCCTAATCATCATGAATATTCAGAGATTCTTACAAAGTAACCAGTAACACCTACAGTTTTCTTTAGAATGTGATTTTCATGAATATTATATCTAATAATTAACTAACATCACGTTAGTTTTTGTTGACATCTAATTAGACATTTACCAATTTTATGTTGCATAACATCTTTCATGTGGTGGAGCTGCTTTTCACAGTTCTTAGGTATTTGTGTAGGCCATTACAAAGTTCATAAAGCTCATGGGTGAAATAGCTTTAGGTCGTATGTGATGGATAAGTGCTACTAAATGACTTTCTTTTGTCAGAAGAGACAGCATACTCATTTTTTAAGAGAACAAGACTTCCCCAAGAGCTACGTTTCCTGTGGCCCAAGTAGAACTTCTGGTGTCTGGTGGGCCGTGTGCCATAGATTCTCTTTAAATGCCGCCTCTGTAGCTGGACTTTTCTGGAGTAGTGACCTTGGCCCTCAGAGACAGTAGCTCCTGTATGTCCAGCCTCCGGTAGGACTCGCCCCGCGAGAGCGGCTTTCCTGGAGTGAAGGAAATGAAAGGCCTTCTCGTCCCTAAAATAGGGCCGCGTGTCCCTGGTATCACACCATGCAGACAAATTAGAGAATAAGAAGAAATTCTTTCCCCGCTGAATAGTGCGCTCCCACGCGCGAGGAGCTCAGCACGCGTTTGTTTCTTCAATTGAATAAGTTGAACCCTGGGGTCAAACTTCTCAGAAGAGATCTTGGGGCGTCAGCTCTGTTCTCAGCAGCAAACCAGTTGGCTGAGTGGGAGGAAGATTCAAGAGCTCCCACCTCCCACCCCATCTCACCAGCCTCACGGTCCCTCTCCACGTGGACAAGGGGCCCCTCTCAGGGTGGGGCTTGGCAGAGCTCCCCCAGGCTCTCTGCCCAGAGAGTAGCTGTGGCCACTGATAAATACACACATCTTGTGAGCAAGCTCGGGGTCCACCCTCTCCAGAGCCCCGAGAGTGACCTCAGAGCCCAGGCTGCCCCCAACCTGCCTGGGACAGCCTTGCTCTAGGACAGTGATGGCGAACCTATGACACGCGGAACTCATTTTTTGTTGTTGATTTTTCTTTGTTAAATGGCATTTAAATATATAAAATAAATATCAAAAATATACATCTTTGTCTTACTATGGTTGCAAATATCAAAAATTTCTATATGTGACATGGCACCAGAGTTAAGTTAGGGTTTTTCAAAATGCTGACACGCCGAGCTCAAAAGGTTTGCCATTACTGCTCTACACTATAGGTGAGCAAAAGGGCCAGATATTTCAGGCTTAGCCCATAAGGTCTCTGTTGTACACTAATCAATTCTGTCATTGTGGTATGAAAGCAGCCATAGTTAATATGTAAATAGATGGGTGAGGTTGTGTTCCTATTATACCTTATTTACTGATAATGATATTTGAATTTCATGTAATTTTTACTTGTCACAAAATATTCTTCTGATTTTTAAAAATCATTTAAATATGTCTAACTGTTCTTTCTTCTT